CAGGCCACAGAGAGGCCGCGGCAGGCCTGCCGGCTGCCGAGGAGGGTTTGAGGGCGGGGCCCCGTGGGTGTCTAACGTTGCCTTCGGAAGCCCAGAGAAAAAGCTTTCTGAGCCAAGCTGCGGCCTTTGTTTGGCCAGTGCAGGGGTGATGCCGACGCAGTAGGGCTTTGAAGGCGGGGGTGGTTGCTTAACGTGGCATGCTGGGGCTTTCGTTTGCACTGCCACCCGTTCCACCCTCCGGTGTCCCTGGCGCCGCCCCGCTTAGGCAAGGGCTAAGCAGGGGTCGGCGGATATTTGTGTACTAGCCTTAAACTTTTGCTTTGGCTGTGTGCAACGAGGGTGTGACGGATTTCGGAGTCCGTGTACTTGAGTCCTTCCGGGACGGTCATCTTTACGGATTTCTTCTACCGGCACCCGTGTCTTTGTCAGTCCCAACTTTGAATGACAGTTTTCCATTCAGCTTGAAACCGCTTGTTGGATCTCGATCACGCTTGTTGGAAATGACCAGAAACAACCTTTATTCATCCACTAGAGTCCAAGAAGATCAAACATACGTGGTCGAAGGTGGAGATGGATACCAAGAGTGTTTCGGCAAGTCGAGCATTAGCGGGATGATGACCTCTGTCGGTTTACAGCTCCCTGTGTGTTTGAGCGAAAAGATCTGAGTTCATCAGACATGCTTCGTGGGGCCATGTTCAGAGTGATTGTTGTTTTGGTCATGTTCGGTCAGGTGCGATCAAGGTGTGTTCTTCACATGCTGGCTGGATCAAATGAGAGTCCCGTGCAGCAAACTGCTATGAAAACCGGATCTCATGTTGATACCTGATACATGATTTATAATATAGACATAGACATAGACCATATGAAAATTATACAAAGTGGTCCGCCAGCTGGAGATTCCGCTCTGCAGCCTCAGCTTTGCATGCGATCTCAGGCGTCAAGAATTCCAAGCTCTCAGAGCAGGTGGGGGAAATGGGGGACCAGCCACCTGTTGGTTTTTCCGGTGCAGCAATGAGCAAGGAAACAGCAGTTTCACAGAAACATTGGTAGTAACATGGGTCTACTTATTATCTTTGTTGTTTTATTTGTCACTCGATACACAAGAGGACAACACGAGAGTCAGAGTCTTTCTTCCCAAGAGTATGAGTGATCAACTGTAAGAGCTGCTGCATACCATCGACACTGACCGTCCGATGCGAGTCGTAGTAAGAGCATGTGAGAGCTGTTATACGCTTTAATCGCTGCGCTCCATCTTTGTTGCCCTCGATGTTTAAAGTTGGTACTTCGTAGGAATATACTAAATCATCGATAAATCTAGTACTAAATCGAATTTCCCACAACGTCGCATGTTTTGCTTGCGAGAACGGGGGACTTCACCGGTCAGGTGGCGAAGTTCCCTCAGGCGTGGAACGCATGGGGTGGGGGACTACAATCTACAACATCGCCAAGCTTTTTGTGGTGCAGAGTTGTCGAGGAAATACCAGGTGTGTGAAATACCAAATGTGTTATGAAAAGCTTTGTGGCGAGGTGTACCAGGCATTGCATGTGTTGGGAAAAGATGGTGAACCAGCCGTTCCCAAGTTGAAACAACATGACTTTGATGGCGAGTTTGCTGACTCGTGCCTTTGGTGGCGAGTCACCTGTTTGATGGCATACTTGCCTCGGTCATGAAGCTTGACCGTGCTGAAGGACCAACCATATCCAGATACACAGTTTGTCAGACAAGCTGTTCTCCATGGGTCATCGGACTAGTTGATGCCCCCCTGGCATCATAAAACCTGGGAGGAGTTTGTCCATTGGTCATCGTAAAACATGACCGCTATAGGCTATATTCATGGTCAAACTTGGTCTTGCAACAGCCCGCGTTCGGGTGGAGGAAGGGCCCGTTTTCCGTTCGATCTCTTTTCAAACTCCGCCTTCAGATCCCAGCAGGGTCGGCTTCGACCTCCGCACATCGATACCCAAGGTGGCGCTCTCGACATCTCCCAAGGATTCCGGGCTCTCGGGCATCGAGTGAAGAGCTTGAAGAGGGCGGGGCCGGTGTAAAAGATGCTTCAAGGCCGGACTTAGTGGACAGGTGTCGGTTTTATATAGATGGAATTGGCATTGAAGCTGCGAGTGGGTCTTCTCTTCTTTCACTGTCTTGTGAGTGCTTGAGGGTACCCTCAGCGCTGTCAGGGAACTAGTACTAAGTAGGTATACATGTAGGTACCCAAGGCATTTTCACATCGCGTGACGATGCCAGAGCCATGTTTCCGTGTCAGTCCACAGACACCAGGTCTTCAAAATGGATCAAGTGAATCAATGACCTTCCTCATGGGTCATTTCTTGCATTTCTTAGCCGAGGTTCTTCGTCTTGGCAATAGTCAGTTTATAGTGCATCAAAGAAAAAACTTGGTATCATGTTCAGCCATGTTTCCCAGGTCCCGCAACAGCAGGAACCGTGACAAACAGCCAGATGACGGGTCTCTTGCTGTGGCTGGACCAGCCACGTGAGGAAATTGAAGAAGCTGATCTTCTCTTTGTCCCGGATGACGATCAGGAGAAGTGCCAACCTCTTTCCCTTGTCGATGAGCCAACCCACTCACCCTGTCGATGGGAGAATTTCATTGATTTTGGATGCTTTGGGAGTTTCATGGAGTCCTCCAGTCCCTATTTTAGGGCATTACAGGGCCCCGTTGGGAGCATGGCTTGTAGCGGGAAGAGTTTACTTGGATTCAGTTTAAACTGGGAAAGACCAAGCACATACTTACTTGTACTTCCAAACGCTTCCGAATTCCTTTTGTGAGGTTCAGAGCTCACGTGCCTGATGAGGTTCAGAGCTGCAGAGCTCCTTTTGATAGCTGCAGAGCTCCTTTCTGCTTCTACTCGTTAATTCAGTAAGCGCAGCCGTCGCAACGCATGGGATTGGTCCAGGTTTCCGGCACGCCACGTCCAGGAGTGGCAACGCCCCCGGCGCCCCCCCGGGTCTGGGGGAGGACCCTCCAAGCAGTTGCAGGGAAGCTCAGTGTGTGAAAGAGGAAACGCAATGGAAAAGTATGGGAAACCTCAAACATCCTCAAACTCTGTGCTTGTTTAGTGTTTTGCGTAATAATGTGTTTGTATGTTCATTCAGGTGACTGTAGTGGAATAGGGGGTGCTTTTCTTCCCAAAGAGCCCGCCCATCGAATTGGCTTTGTTTGCCCGTAGAACTTTGTGGATCTTTTCGGTTAAAAAGACACCAGTCAGTGCATTCATCAATCATGCATTTGTTGAGGATTTTGGTGTTCGGGGTTCGGATTGAAGGCGTCCGCTCTTTGTGGATCCAACAAGTTCAGCTCAAGAAATTGCAGTGTGGGGTGTGTGGAGGCATTTTCACTCCTACCCAAGTTTTGGGTTGAAATTTTGACCCAAGTGGTGGTGGTGGTGGTGGTGGT